AAATACTCCAGACACAGATAGGCCAACGGATTGGTATCCGGAGATTTTGGTGGCCATTGGGCGCTAGAAATGAAGTGAGTAACCTAATTTTGTAATCATTCTTGGGTGGCGCGTGCTTAGTGTGATGATACTGAGTCCTGTTAGGATGTCCAAGGAAGGTCCGCGGCCAATTGTTTGTACTTAAGATAGAATTTTCAATGTTATCAATTTCCAAGAAGTCATTAAATCCATATGTGAGTTTCCCAGCCATTAAATCCATATGTGAGTTTCCCAGCCATTAAATCCATATGTGTAACCTTCATTGATCATGTACACTGGTGCATACGATAAGTTTTATGATAATAAAGGTTGTGACCCACGCACGCACTTATCTATGCACACAGTAGGTAGAGAAGATCACTGGATTAAGAAAGAAGAGATAAGAATTATTATTAGGTTGCATTAGGCTAAGTTCGAATAACATATGTAGCTCTTAAGGACAATATTTTTTAAATAAAATTAGTACTCAACCAACATCCAAGCCGGCAACATCTTTTATTAATACGCGCGTAAACAGTGGTCCTTCGAAAGAGAAAAAAGAATCAGTGACCGGAAAAGTGTGCACATCAAAAAAAATCTAATTTAAGAAAGAATTCTATTTGAAAAAATAATTGTGAAAGCCACATTGAAAAGAATATTATCAAAAAAAATATATATATATAATTTAAGAAAGAATTCTATTTGAAAAAATAATTTTGAAAGTTACAGTGAAAAGAATATCATCCAAAAAAAAAAAAAACAGAAAATAGTGACGAATTAAGAAACAAGGATATTATCCAATAGAAAAAAAATATTATAGTAAAAAAAAAAAATCATAAAATTAAAAAGCCAAAGAGGCTAAGAAATTAGAATATATACAGAATATAGCGGAAAATTGGAAACAGAAGAGCTTAAATCAATAAAGGTAAAACTATTAAAGAATAATAAACTGTAGAAAGAGAAATTAGTCAAAAAGACTTTAAGACGAAATAAATTTAAGAAAACCGAGAGGCCTAAAGGCAAATATTAAAGTAAACCAATTATTAATCCAAAGAAGCAAATAAAAATGTCAGCAGAAAGATATACCTTATATAAAACCCAAAATCAAATCCTCAAGGAAATATTAGAGATTTCAGAGAAGCTGAAATCGGGAACGACTAGGAAGGTTGCTTTAGAAGCAAATTCAAAGTCGCTGGAGAACAAAATGCAGGAAGCTAGGACAAATCAAGCGAAATTAGAATTATATGAACAAAAAGATGAGCCATATTTTAAAGAGAACATATGGGGCAGAATTGAGAGCAATTACAAAGAATGCAAGGAGCTAATACAAAAAATTAAAGATGAACCCGAAAAGCCAGAGATGGGAATAGTGGAACAGGGCCGTCGGAAAGTAGAAGCGCTCGAAAATCTTGGGGCAGTAAAGAACACCGAGAATAACAATGAGGCAATGGAGCAACAATTTCGAGCGTTACAGGAGAGTATGCTAAGCCAGTTCAAATTGCAGCAGGAACAATGGCAAAAACAACAAGAGCAAATGAAGATACAACAGGAACAAATGCAGAAATCTATACAAGAGCAAATGAGGCAGATGCTGCAGTTTCAACATCCATATGGAAATAATAAAGGAGGCGAAGAAGGAGATGGAAAACTAACCATTGTAACCACTCATGCTAGCAGTGATAAGAAAAATGCAGTGCTTTCCCAATTCAGAAGAAAGATCCTGAAGCTTTCAGACTCCATAGAAGAAGATATTTCAGGAGTAAGTAAATATGCTCTGGAAAATATGAAGGTTTCATGGGAAAAGCAATTCGACGACATAAAACGACTGCATTTAGAATTAACAACAGAACATGGAATGGAAGAAGTGGATGATGAATTGGAAGATATTGAAAGGAAAATGAATACGAAAATAAATAATATTATTTTAAAGATAGGTGGCCTAAAAGAAGAATCTCAGGCAGTGGAGTTAAAAAGAATACAGATTCCATGTTTCAATGGAAATATGGAGGAATGGAGTTCCTTCCACGATTTATTTAAGAAATTGGTTGATAGGAACGCTCAACTATCCGAGGTACAAAAGTTATACTACCTCAAAACTAATCTGAGAGGAGAGGCGTTTCGTTTGGTGCAACATTTGCAAGTGACCAACGCAAACTACAAAGCAGCGTGGGAACTATTAGAAAAACGCTATGACAACAAACGAATTTTATTCACGAAATTGATTGATAAAATTTTGGATCACCCGAATATAAACAGTCTATCTGCAGCAAGCATACGAAATTTGGTAGATAGCGTTAACGAAAGCATACACGCGTTGAGAGCAATGGGTATACCGTTGGAACATGCGGACCCTATAATAGCCAGAATAATAATAAGGAAATTGGATAAAGATGGACTCATTCAATATGAGCAGAACGTCAAAAAATCAAAGGAGATCCAAAAACTTGAAGATGTAATGGACTTCTTAGAACAGCAATACCAGGCCTTGGAAGCATCAACGAGCAAAAAATATGCTGTTTCAGCAACGTATAAAAATCAAGATAAATCCGGAGGGTTGGAAAAGAGGCAATGCAGGTTTTGTAAGCTGATTGGACATGAAGTTGTGGCTTGTAGAAAATTTGCGGCACAACCGGCAAACGATAGATTTAGTTGGGTGAAAGCAGCCCAAATGTGCCTCAGATGTATTAAGCACTCGAAAGACAAAAGATGCCTGAGTGATTCCAAATGCCAGAAGTGTGGATTACAGCATAACACATTAGTCCACTTGGAAAAAACAAGCAACACAAAATCCATGACCACACATGCAACAACAAATGTTCTTCTTGCTACAGCTCAAGTTCGAGTCAAATCTTGGTATGGAGAATATATCACTTTAAGAGCCTTGATAGATCAAGGATCACAGATAACTTCTGTATCCGAAGAAGCGGCGCAGTTGCTACAATTACCAAGATCAAGGACTGAGGTGAGATTACGAGGTCTAGGAGATACCATGGTGGGCGTTGCGAAATCTAAAGTATTGCTGAAGATAAGGCCGAGATTTTTCAGCAACAATAAAATTATAACGGAAGCACTAGTCTTGCCGAAATTAGCATCAGCTCATCCTGACAACAATTTCCATTACGACTTGGAGAAATGGAAAAACATAACTCTAGCAGATCCAAATTTTTATAATTCCGAAAGAATCGATCTGGTAATTGGCGCGGACATTTTCCAACAAATATTGGAAGAAGGTGTTCGCCATGAAGAGAAGATAGTGGCACAAAATACAAAACTAGGATGGATTCTTTCCGGAATAATTCAGATGAAATCCGGAGGAAATAACGTGAGATCAGCTGCGACGACGACAATAGAACGGTTTTGGGAAATAGAAGAGATTGAAGATGAAGAAACGATAGCAGAAGATGATTACTGTCTAAAACTATATGAGGAAACAACACGAGTCGATCAAGCGGGAAGATTTGTAGTGCGATTGCCATTTGCTGAAGACAGACGTTTGGGAGAATCATATAAAAGAGCAATGGCGAGATTTTTAAGTCTAGAGAAAAGATTAGAAGGATGTCCGAAATTGAAAGCAGAATACATAAAAACAATAGATGATCTAATTACAACTAAACACATGGTGAAAGTAGAAGAGAGAAAACAAGGAAAATATTATATGCCGCATCAAGCAGTGATACGTGAAACCAGCTTAACCACAAAGTAAGAGTGGTGTTTGATGCATCGTCGAAAACATCAAATGGAAAGTCGCTGAATGACATTATGCATACAGGTCCAAAGTTGCAAAAGGACATATTTGATATTATTACCAAATGGAGAACTTGGAGATTTGTCATATCAGCCGATGTAGAAAAAATGTTTAGACAAATAAACATAGACAAAGAAGATCAAGAATACCAATATGTCCTGTGGAGAAATAACAAGAGCGAGCCAGTGCAACAATTCAAACTCACCACAGTGACATATGGCACCGCATCAGCACCGTTTTTGGCTGTAAGGACGCTGATAGAAATTGCAAATCGATGCGAGAATCAAGATATAGCCAAAAGAATAAAAGAAGATTTCTACATGGACGATTTACTTACAGGAGCGAATTCAAAACTAGAATGTATGGAAGTACAAGAGAATATAGCTCAACAACTGGAAATGTATGGGTTCCATTTAAGAAAATGGATAGCAAATTCTTCGGATATATTGAGAGCTGTAAATCGGGCTGAAGAAAATGAAGTATTGCAAATTCAAGAAGATAACTGCTTGAAAACGCTAGGATTGCAATGGAGTCCACTGATGGATTGCTTTACATTCAGTATGGAAGTAAAACAGGAAGACAAGGTGACCAAACGAATGGCGTTATCAAGTCTAGCGAAAATATTTGATCCACTGGGTTGGCTGACACCAGTAACCATAACAGCAAAACTATTTATTCAGCAGTTATGGATCCAGCAATTAGATTGGGATATACCGTTGGATGGAAAATTGAGTGATGACTGGAAGAAATTTGCGTATAGTCTCCACGTAATAAAGAACGTGAAGATACCAAGATGGTTTCAAATAGCACCAGTCAGTGGAGTAGAGCTACACGGGTTTGCTGATGCGACCGAAAAGGCATATGCGGCAGTAGTTTATCTAAAAGTGGATTCTCAAATTGCAATCGTGGCTGCGAAGAGCAAAGTTAATCCTATTAAAAATACCAAGACCCTCCCAAAATTGGAACTAAGTGCTGCCCACCTCTTGGCGAAACTGCTACAAAAAATAAAAAAAGTATTATCATCAGCGGCGGCAATTTATGCTTGGAGTGATTCCATGATTACGTTGGCATGGATAAACAACCCAAAAAATAAAGATAAATTTATTAGAAACAGAGTAGTGGAAATTATGGAACGAATCCCTAAAGCGAAATGGGCTTACGTTAGATCAAAAGAAAATCCAGCTGATTTAGGCTCCAGAGGCGTTGCTCCTGAGATTTTGGCCAACTGTCAATTATGGTGGAAAGGGCCAGAATGGCTGATAAAAAATGAAAATGAATGGCCCAAGTTAAATCCGACAGTAGTGGCAGCAACGACAAAAATTGCGGCAGTAGAAAAAAGCGTCTATGACCAACTTATGAAGTTGTCATCATTTAAAAAGCAGTTACGAGTCATGGCTTATATTCTACGATTTATTAAAAAACTGAGAGGAAATAAGGTAAAAGGTGAGCACTTAACTGCGGAAGAAATAGAAGAGGCCGAAATTGCTTTAATCAAAATGCACCAAGAAATTGAATGGCCGGCGGAAATTAGTCAGCTAAAAACTTCAGGAGCAATAAATCATCGAAGCAATATAGCATCATTGCATCCGCAGCTCGACGAATATGGGGTTATGCGAGTAGGAGGAAGACTGGGTTGGTCAGAGCTAACCTATAACGAAAAGCATCCAATACTGATTCAAAAATCACGATTAGCTGCGAATATTATAAGGAGAGCTCATATGGAAACATTGCATGGAGGAAATCGGCTGATGGAAAATGTTTTAAGGCGCAAATATTGGATAATCGGAGCCAAAAATAGAATAAAACTCTGCGTCAGGTGCTGTCCACGATGTACGCGCTATAGGGGAGAAGTACGAAATCAGTTAATGGGAAATCTACCAATGAGTAGAGTGAATATAAGTCAACCCTTTCAACATTGCGGAATAGACTACGCGGGTCCGTTTCAAATACGATGTTCGAAAACGAGAGGAACCAAGTCTATGAAGGGTTACGTAGCAGTATTTGTGTGCATGGTGACGAAAGCGGTGCATTTAGAGGCAGTTAGCGAGCTTACGGCAGAAGCATTTTTAGCAGCGCTGAGAAGATTCTTCGCAAGGAGAGGAAAATCAAGCGATTTATATTCCGACAACGGAACGAACTTTGTCGGGGCATCAAGGCAGCTAGATAAAGATTATATAGAGGCGATAAAAAGCAACAATACGTTAGCGCCAATTCTGGAGAATGAACAAATAAAATGGCATTTTATCCCCCCGGCAGCTCCTCACTTCGGAGGAATTTGGGAAGCTGCAGTTAAGTCAATGAAATACCATCTTAAAAGAATCATTGGCGAGATAAAATTAACGTATGAAGAGATAAGCACGGTTCTAGCTCAAATTGAAGCAGTTTTAAACTCAAGGCCGTTGCATGATCTTGGAAGCGGCACAGACTATATCGACACCTTAACGCCAGGGCATTTCATAGTTGGACGCCCGTTATTAGAAGCTCCGGCGAAGATCGATGAAGGAAGTTTAGCATGTGTGAGCAGGTGGAAACTGCTGCTACGAATAAAAACCCACTTTTGGAGAAAGTGGAAAGAAGAATATTTGACTACTTTGCAAAATCGCCCAAAATGGAGAAAAGAAGATCGCAATCTGGAAGTGGGACAGATCGTGCTGATCAGAAATGAAGAGACTCACCCAGCTCGTTGGCCATTGGCGAGAGTGACTGAGGTACAACCGGGCAAAGATGGAATAGTGAGAGTAGTAACGTTGAAAACACAAAATGGAGAAATAAAAAGACCAGTACATAAATTATGCCCATTAGAGCATGAAGATGAGAGACCTGAAGAGGAAAAGGTAGAAGATACGCAGAAAAAGGAGGTCGAAGTGAACTCAACAAAGAAGTTACCAAGATTAACAGCAAATTCCTTTGTGATATGGACTATGATGATAAATCTTTGTCTGATTATGACGACTAAGGCCTCATCAGTAAAAGAATTAAATAGTTCGACGGCAATATATCTTGATCCAATCTCTCAAATCCACATGGCCTCGTCTTCATGGAACATGATTGTATATTTTGAAATGAAAACGTACTTAGAAACACTGGATCTTGCATCCACATTGCTCAACGCCTCTAAAGAAATATGTCCAAGGCTCCAAACATTTGAAGACCAGTGCTGGTCGGTAATAAACAATATGGAATATAAAGTAAACAAAATCAAGGCGAATAATCGGCTTTTCATGAGGGATGATAAACGGCAAAGAAGAGGAGCCCCTTTGAAGTTCATAGGGTCTTTTCAACATTGGGCATTTGGTGTGATGGACGACGATGATCGTGTGGCGATGGAAAATAATATGAGAAATCTGTTAGCCAACCAGTACGACTTAAAAGAATTGTCAAAAAAGCAGACATCGATAGTTGATTCCACGGTCAATCTGCTAAAAAGAACAACGGAGGAAGTCAATTCGCACTTTGTGGAGATAAAGTGCAAAATTGATAACATAACCGCCACCATGAACGAAAATTACTTCGTTTATAGAGAATCTATTCGTTTCTTTATTATAACTAAAGAAATCCATGAATACATAGACGAATGTGACGAGGTGCTAAAGGAAGTCATTAACCTGTTACTGGACATTAATAATGGTCATATACACCCTGTGCTCATAAGTCCGGAGAAATTGCAGTCGGAAATATTTAAAAATCGAAATGAGCTGCCCACGAAATATGTTTTACCCGGAAAATCTTCTGGTACAGAACTTAAGGAGGTTTTACATTTGATGAGGGGACGTGGAATGTATATCGGCACACAATTGGTGATCGACTTGAAGATACCTCTTTTCAACAGACAGTCATCGCAGTTCTATAGAGTAATCCCGATTCCATTTGAACATGACGGTGCGGTATTGATAGCAAGGATAAGGTCGCCATACATCGTGTACAATTTTGAATTGGATTCGTTCCACTATCTGACACAAGTCATGTTGAACGAATGTAAAAACACATTGGGAGATGAGATTGTATGCGAAGAAAATTTTCCCTGGCGAGATGCGTCGACCAACAATTGCGAACTGTCACCCCTGAGGCCGCGCATCGAGATAAACTGCACGTACGATGAAGTTGAAAACAGTCCCTATTGGATACAGCTGAGGCAAAAGGGAAATTGGCTTTTTAAGACGTTTAAGAATGCAACGGCCCATATTAAGTGTTCCGAAAAGCAGCAATCCATCATAGAACTTCCACAACAAGGTATTCTAGCCCTTGATACAGATTGCACGGCTAGAATTGACAAAGTGACTCTAGTGGCGGTCCATCGGGTAAGAAATGAAATGTCAACTCAATTTCACTCTATTCTTTTAAAGGACGTCAGTGAAGCCGACAAAGAAGCCATAAAACCCCTTGGAAACGTATTGGTGAAACATCACAATGAGATCAGCCAGCTAAAGACGCTCGTGGACGATTTGAAGAAGCAGAAACTAAATTTAAGAGGTTTAGAATTTCATAATTGGTCTGGTCACATGTCATTTATTTTAGTTACCATAGTAGTTATAATATTGCTAACTCAGTTTATAAGGAAAATTATAATAAGGAGACGGATAGCAGCAATTCAGTTCCAAGGAAGGCCGAATGTTTAAATAAAGTATCTGCCGGCCGGGAGAATGTTCATAAAAATATGAACATGAATCTTTCTTTTATCTTGTCTAGCTTAGAAGAAGTAATAAAATAATTAAGTGTCTTAGATAATAAATTGTAATGTAGATCTGTCATAAATGTTATTGCTTATTTGCTATAAATTTTATGTACTTAAGATAGAATTTTCAATGTTATCAATTTCCAAGAAGTCATTAAATCCATATGTGAGTTTCCCAGCCATTAAATCCATATGTGAGTTTCCCAGCCATTAAATCCATATGTGTAACCTTCATTGATCATGTACACTGGTGCATACGATAAGTTTTATGATAATAAAGGTTGTGACCCACGCACGCACTTATCTATGCACACAGTAGGTAGAGAAGATCACTGGATTAAGAAAGAAGAGATAAGAATTATTATTAGGTTGCATTAGGCTAAGTTCGAATAACATATGTAGCTCTTAAGGACAATATTTTTTAAATAAAATTAGTACTCAACCAACATCCAAGCCGGCAACATCTTTTATTAATACGCGCGTAAACAGCCCCCATATAACGATACCTCCCGATATTCGGTAATTTGATGATTTTTGCCACATTTTTTTCCCGAAATTGTCTGAAAATTGGTATTTGTAGGTCATAATGGATTCTCGCTCCTTTGGCGAAACATTGCATTGCATGGTATAGCCCCCATATAACGGTACCTAATGATATTCGGCATTTTAATGTTTTTTGCCACATTTCTTCTAATGTTTCCTTTACCCTAAGGTGGAGGGTATTAAGAGTTTGGCCCGGCCGAACTTAATGTTTGTTTTATGGTTCTTATGGGTAAACTTGCGGCACATATTAGCCCTACAAACCTTTCATTGAAAAAATATTCGAGTTGATAGACCTTCTATTGAATATTGCAGCGCTTAAAGGTTTTTTATTAACCATTGAAGCCCTTACAGACCTCCAGAGAAATCAAAGACCATTTCAATAAACAATAAACAACACTTTTATTTTCCATATTATTATTATTATTATTTTTTTTTTTTTTGTTTTATTATTATCCGCATTTAAATTTACCACAATTAAGTCGAGTTCTTGTTACTCGTTTATGGACGATAGTCGAACGTTGCGACGATGGCACCACAAGCATCATCAAAATACATACGATTTGCAGTGAGACAATTAAAATTCTAAGCTGTCTCATTGTTTAAGTTTAAGCGCTATTCCGACAATCGACTATCGCTAGAACTCTGTACTGGCCATATTACGCTCCGTCATGCCATTTTATTTCGATTGCAGAAGGTCACATCATTTTGTTATGCCTTTTAATTGTAATTATACCCTACAACACTATGTGTTGGGGGTATTATAAGTTTGATTGGGCCAAAAATTATGTAACACCACGAAATATTGATTTCCCACATAGGAAAGTATATATGGATCTTCCTAGCTCGCCGAGCTGAGTCGATCTAGCTATGTATGTCCGTCCGTCCGTCTGTCCGTCTGTCCATGTTAATTTGTAATCACTCTACAGGTCGCAATTATGGTCCGATCTTCACGAAATTTAAAATGGAGGTGGGGCTAGGGTCAGAATAGAACCCTATTTCTTTTGGTGATGATCGCATAATATTTAGGGGTTGAAATGGACCAAAAACTGAAGAAATTCCTGATTTTGCACTTGCTCTACAGGTCGCAATTATAGACCAATCGCCGCGGAATTTCGCATGTAAATAGAGTTTAGGGCTGGCAAGAAGCCTACCCATTTGGGTGGTCATCGGACAATATTTAGCGGGTAAAATAGACCATATCTTTTTTGTTGAAAAAATTCAAAATTTTTCATTAAACCGCGAATATTTTAAATCCCAGCGAAATCACAAAGCCATGACAAGGTTACTTCTGATCATTACATTGATGTTAACATCCAACAAAACGGATATATAGCAAAATATGTGCGATATATATGTTTATCAAAGAAGATATGCTTGAAAAATCTCTTATATGTCGAGAACGGCTGAACTGATTTCGACAGTTCTCATTAATTCAGAATGGCCTCTTGGCAGGAAACATAAAACGTCTAAAAAAATCGCATAAAAATATCTCTCTAAAGATGAAAATATTGATTTTGTAAAATTTTCTCATATTTTTTCAATTTTGTCATATTTTTGGCATATTTTCATTTTGAATTAAACATTTGGTAATATTTCTACAGCTAACAAAACTAAGTAGTTAGGATATCAGGATATCATATACAGATCGCATTTATGGCCCGATCCTTACGAAATTTTGCATGGGGATAAGATGAGGTTTAGAATAAAAGCCTATTCTTTTTGGAGATGATCGCCATATATTTAGGGGTTGAAATGGACCAAAAAACTGCAAAATTGTCAGCAGGTCGTAATTATGGGGGTTACCGGACATTACAAAACCCAAGCAGTTTTGGATGGCCATCCAAAAATATTCAATGTGTGAAGGAGTTTGCCAACTTTTGTAGACAAAATACGAAAATGTCCATTCCAGTGACTTTTTGGAGAATTCACAAATACAGGAAAGACGCACTTCTGACTATTTCGTTAACGCTGATTTCGTTGAAGAATATAGTCAAATGGCTGTATCTTATATAGATGCGTTTCAGTCAAAAAGCAATAATAAATGTTAATCTTTTGCCACTTCTTAGAGATTATAGGTCTTTGGGAAATATTGGTTCCAGATCTAGGAAGACCATTTACGTGCAACATCTACGAATAAATTGGAAATGAGCAAATTAGTTTAAGTTGCTATTATCCGAAAATTAAAGAACGAAACCTGATGATTTTCTTTTATTATTTGTTTCAATATCTTGTGGAATTCTTTCGAGTATCTCGCCTATATAAACTGTATCGTTTATTATAGTGTTGTAGGGTATTCAACGGTCGGCCCCGCTCGACTGTAGCCTTTGCTTACTTGTTTTTATGTTGGGAATTTTCAATAAATAAATAAACCACATCTTTGGAATTTTAAATGAAATAGACCACCAGCCACTTACTGACACCCACACACACTCAAATAAATGAACACTACACTATTCTACACAGATTTTTTTATACCCTCCATCATAGTATGGAGGGTATATTAAGTTTGTCATTCCGTTTGTAACACCTCGAAATATACATTTTAGACCCCGCAAAGTAAATATATTCTTGATCAGGATAAAAATTCTATGTCGATTTAGCGATGTCCGTCGGCCTATCCGTCTGTCCGCCTGTGGAAATTACACTAGCTTCCAAAAAAATTGAAGTAGATTGATAAAATTTTACTCAAATGTGTATTATGTCTGCAGGACTTTTGGTATTGAAAATGGGCCATGTAAGTCCACGTCTTCGTATAGCCCCCATATAAGGGTACCTCCCGATATTCGGTATTTTGATGATTTTAACGACATTATTCACCGAAATTGTTTCAAATTTCGCATTTGAAGTTCGTAATGGATGCTACAGCCTATGACAGAAAATTGTCTGTGCTGGTTCACGTCTTCGTATAGCCCCCATATAACGGTACCTCCCGATATTCGGTATTTTTATGATTTAAGCAACATTCATCACCGGAATTATTTCAAATTTTCTATATGAAGTTCGTAATGGATACTACAGCCTATGACAGAAAATTATCTGTGCAGGTCCACGTTTTATAACCACCATGGTACCTACCAATATTCGGTATTTTGATGATTTTAGCTACATTATAAACAGATTTTTTTTTTCAAGTTTCGCATTTGAATGCTGTAATAGCTTGTGACAAAAGTTGCCTGTGCAGGTCCACGTCGTCGTACATAACCTAATATACGACTATATTCGGTATTTGTAAAATTTTAACGGATTTATTTATTTTTTTTTTTTTTTTGAAAATTTGCCAATTTTTTTTCAAAATGGTGGAGGGTATTTAAAGTTCGGCCCGGTCGAACTTACAGCTTTTTTACCTGTTTTATTTATTTATTTTTTTTTTTTATTTATTTATTTTTTTTTAAATAAAGGAAGAAATAAATAAAGAAAATAGCATCAAATTTTAGAGGTGGTCATCCTTGGCACGAATTATGGCCTACAAACGGCCACTGAAACCCTCACACGCTGCCCGAATGTTGTTCTGCGCAATTTTGGCCCATTCCCGGGGAGGCGCTTGCTTGAGGTTATCGACGCTTTGGTATTTTTTAGTGCCAACCCTGCTTTCTTAAATACTCCAGACACAATAGTCCAACGGATTGTTATCCGGGGATTTCGATGGTCATTGTGCGCTGGAAATGAAGCGAGGAACCTCATTTTGTAACTATACTTGGGTGGCGCGTGCTGAGTGGGATGGTGCTGAGCCCTGTTGAAATGTTCAAGGTCTGCGTGCCTAAGGCTTTAATACACCCTCCACAATATTTTCGCGATGATATTCGGCATTTATTCTGATGCCACGGTTGATCAATATGAGCTGAGAGCGACCATCGGCTGTTATGGCGGCCCACAGCATCACCATGGCCGGCGCTTGAGTTCCGGTGGTCAACGGAAGGTGCATATTCTCAGCTGACCTCTTTGGCAAGTAAACGCGATCATTTTGTTTGCTGGACAACGAATATTTTCTCATCGAAGAAAACCAAATTCGGCAGTTCACCACCTTCGGCCAAACGAAGCAACTCTTTAGCTCTTTTGAGTCTATTTTCTTTCTGGTAGCGGTGTAAGTTCCAGCACTTTTTGGAATTTCAATGGCTTTACCCCGAGTTCATTTTTTAATATTTGCCGAATGGAATATTGCGATATGTTCAGTTCACGAGCTATTTTTCGGCCACTACGACGTGGGTTTCGGTCAAGTCGCTTCTTTACTTTTCGAACCATTTCTGCTGATGTTGCTGTTTTCTTCCGTCCACTTCCTTGACGTCGTCGGGCTACGCTACCAATCTCACGGTAACGAGCGATGGTACGAGACACAAAAGATTTATTCACATTTAGATGCTGGAGAGCTCTATCGATAGCCACTTGTGGTTTTCCAGCAAAATATAAGGAGATCACACCATCACGCCATGGCGAATAACTTTTTTTCTGGAAAATTCTCACCAAAATGCTTTTGTACTCTTGTAAACAATATAATGAGCTGTCACTGGAATAATTTTAACAGCTGTCGGCCAAGTGGCTTAGAAATGACAGCAGTATGAAATTGGTGGCAGTTTTTATACCCTCCACCATACATAGTATGGAGGGTATATTAAGTTCGTCATTCCGTTTGTAACTCATGGAAATAATCATTTTAGACCCAACAAAGTATATATATTCTTGATCAGCGTAAAATTCTAAGACGATTTAGCCCTCCCCATCCGTCCGTCCGTCCGTCTGTTGTAATCACGCTACAGTCTAAACAAATAAAGATAGGAAGCTAAAATTTTGCACAGATCTGTCTTTTGTCTGTAGGCAGGTCAGGTTCGAAGATGGACTACATCGGTCCACGATATCGTATAGCTCCCATATAACGGTACCCCTAGATATTCGGTATTTTGTTGATTTTAGCCACA